AATTTATGTATGTAAACTGTCAGGCATTGCAACTCATTTTATGCCTATTTTTGTAGTGCCACTATTATTTTGGATCAAATGTTAAGGTTTTTAATACACATAAAATTATTCCATAAAATCAATTTAGTTACATGGGGTTGCTTGAACACTGACGCCGGTATTGAGCTTATTAAATTATATTACTTATTAAATTATAAATTAAAGCATAGAATGAATTTATATGATGCTTGACTGTATAACTACAAAATTGTGTTGTTAAAAATATTACGCTCAGAATTTGGAGTATACATAAACAAGATATGCTTATACATAATCTGAGACTTGAACTTATTATTTCACTTTTCTGAAACACTAGCGACCCGCCCCGGCTTCGCACGGGTGTTTTCTGGATCTCGACAACAGCGCCGCCTATTGGCTCCAATTGTGAATCTAAACTATCCACTCAAACGCACGGATAAATTTCATTAAAATTGTTCCAGCCGTTTTCGAGTTTTAGCAAGACTAACGGACTGCAATTGATTTTATGTACAGGATTATTTTTCAATATCCGGCGAAATTTGCAGCGGAGGTTCGGGATAGAAATATAAGCGAATAATGAAAAAAATAAACAGGAAAAATACTCAAACATTTTGACCTTTTACTACCTTTTATATTCAAAATATATGGAAATGCGTTATTTAACTCCCAGCCCTTTCCCTTCTGTAAGCCGTTACACTGCCAGAACCATTCACCCGGCCGGCCCCGGCCGACAGTATTCGTTTGTCCGTGACCTCGTTACGTACCAGTATGCTATTTTTAAAATTTTGTAGGGAATTTCGTAACAAAAACGTGCAAACCGGGAATACTATGAAACGTTACGGTGTTACATTTAAGCAAGCAAGAAATTAACGAACGTCTACCATCCAATCGGAGAACGTCTTTTGCAGCTGACCAAAGGCTGTTAGATATTGGACAATCTGAGGGTGCAAAGTCCTGTATGGAGACTGTGCACCCTCATGATGAGACTATAATATTATGATGGATTCATTAACCAACCAAGTACTCTAAATTTTTGCTACTAGCCAAAGTAGTGTGTGATCTGGCGTTATCACGATGAAAGACCATTCCTTTTCTGTTGATCAATTCCAGCCGTTTTTTCTCAATCTCTTGCTTCAGTCTCAGTTGTTGGCGGTAGAGATCCGAACCGATGGTTTTGCCCGGCGGTAAAAGCTCATAATAAATTGTGTAATTCCAATTCCACCACACTGCATCACCTATTGCGTGTTGATCCCGGTTTTGATACAGTTTGTGGAACTTGACTATCTTTTGACCATGTATTGTTTGTTTGTCATTTTGAAAGATGCAGCTCGCTCTGGTCGCCCTCATATGGATAAAGTCGATGCTATTTTTGAAAAAATGGACCAAGACCGGCATATTAGTAGTTACGACATTGCCGAGCAATTGCGAATTGACCACAAAACAGTTTTGACCCATTTGAAAAAGTCTGACGAAAATTGTCACGAGATGTTGGACAGCTTTGGAGAGCAAAGGGAGGAAGTTATGGCCCAAATTATAACTGGCGATGAAACTTAGTTTCACCATTATGAACCTGAGTCAAAGCAAGAGCCGATCCAATAGCATAAAAAGGCACACCCCTCCTAAGAAGTATAGTAGGTGTCTCAATCGACCAGAAAGATCATGGCGACGACCTTTTGGGATACAGAAGGTATCCTTTTGATTGATTATAAGAGATGTGGTGTTTCCATAACGGGAGAATACTACGCTTCTTTATTAAATCAATTAAAACAAGCTATTAAATAAAAAAGGCGAGGAAAGCTTACAAAAGGCGTGTTCCTATTGCACGACAATGCGCCCGTGCACACAAGCCGTGTTGCAACGGCTGTCATTCACTGGTGCGGTTTTGGACAACTGCACTACCCACCCTACAGCCCAGACCTGGCCTGTAGAGTGGGTAGCGCAATTTGTTTCTAAAAATGAAGAATAAAAAAAACTGCGTGGGAAAAAATTGGCGACGATGATGAAGTGAAGTCGCCAATTTCGACTTATTTTGATGCTCAAGACAACAGTAATAAATGTATAAGGGTTAAAGGAAAAATTCATTGAAAAGGAAAAATAGTTTAATGTTTCATTTCATTCTCCTTCCCTGTCATTCCTCAAACTTTTGGCCTCACCTCGTACAAATTCATTTTCGTAGAGACTAAGTGTTATTATAATTTGAAAATGAACGTCTTCTTCATCACAAAACTCAAGATTTTTAATCAGGAAATGATATTAAAAACTTGCAATGATGTTGTTCACGAAACCGAAAAGGAGAGGTCTTTTATCATGATAACGCCAGACCACACACATATTTAGACACTCAGCAAAAATTGAGAGATAATACTAGTTTACGGAATTTATCGGTATATTTAACTTGTGATGAGGAAGATGGTTGAACATCTCAGTCCTTCCCGTGACCATGGGTGCTGTAAAGCTCTAAAGTCGGGTATTAGACGCGATAAATTCCGTAAAAATGTATTCAATGTGTAGTGTTCGCGTAAATATAAGAAACAAAAATTGAGAGAACTTTGTTGGGAATGGTTAATGCATCGATTGAGAGAACTTGGTTGAGAATGGTTAATGTATCGACCATATAGTCCCTTACACCCTCATTTTTACACCTGTTTTGGTCTCTTCAGAATTCTATGAGTAGTGTTTGGTTAAAACCAAGAAAGGACTGTCAAAATTACTAGTCGCATTTTTTTTAACAAAAATCCCAAGATTTCTACTGCAACGCGATTATGTCACTGCCTACAAGATGGCAACAAGTTATAGTACCAAATGGCACGTAATATATTATAATTAAATGTAATTAAACTTTGAAAAAAAATCTTAAATTTGTGAAACATTTACGCCGACCTATCATTATAATAACCCTTTTTTAATAGTACATAGATGAAAATAACCCTTGGTAATAAAGTGATCGCTACCATTACCATACCATATTATGCACAGAAGTATTATCCAAACCAGTGATAAAATTGGCTTTCAAAGTACTATTTTTATGTAAAATTTTATATTAAATAAAAAATATGAAACCCACCGATTTAGGTATATAACATTTTTTCGACAAATTTGAATCGAATTTTTTAAGCGGATTACATTTTTTGGGTGACGCTCGTAACATCTGTTCTGTCGAATCGCTTTTCGTTCGCAAAATTCATATTGCACGATCAAATTTAGGTCTTGTTTAAGAAATAACAACTGACATCTCAATGAGGCATGCTGAGACATTAGACCGTATCTTGCCAATTTATGGTAAAGGTGTGTCAGGTGCCATTTTTCTTACAAATATATTGGGGCAAGTTTGTAAGAGAATGAAAACAAACTACAAAGATTATATTATATTTATTTTAAATGTTTATAAATTTATATAGATTTTGGTTAAACATAATTAAAAACTAATAAAACAAACTGTTACTCACATGTATATTGCGGTGTGTAGATATTAAAAAAAATTATTTAAATGGTATCTATAATTCAAAAACGATCTGTAAAATATGAAGTTCACATTTTAGTTTATATACTTGTCACCGGACTTCTTTCATGAAACGGACTCTAGTTAAACCCAGAGACTAATAAGACGTTATGGGACCATAAAAAGTTACATAATAGTAATAGTCAAGAAGGTGAGAAGGATATTCTTTTGCTCGGATTAATTCAAACTTGAAAATTATTTAAAGATGAAAATGTGTTAATTAGAGAGATATAGTTACAATATTTAAAGAATTTACCTCCCACGTATTTTTTTGACAAGTGTAAACAAGCGAAGACGGCAGTATTTAATAGTTTTATTAGTAATGCCCACTGTCACTTTTGTCTAAGGATATAATTTTTACTTTAAATTGTTTAAGATGTTACTTTCTAACATTGATATTTGGTTTATTAAAAAAATTGCTAATAGACATAACCTAATTCCTTTCATGGGATTTATTTTAATCACGTGCAATTTACTTTGTAACATAAGTTAAAAGTTTAATTTCACTTAGAGTACAATTAAGTAACGTAAAGTATATGAAAAACAGTATAAAAATATTTGCATTTTACTAGCAAATTGAGCGAGCGTTCAAGGACGATTCTTATTACCACTACTCTTTTACCTAGTTTCTTACGCAAATTGATCTTAACATTACATATATTCTAAGCCAATATAATATTTGAAATATCACAATTAGATACAGATAGACACAGATAGTCGGAAATTGATAGAGATCTCACATGTTCTTGTAAATGGTGTCCAGCAAGGAATATTTAATAAAACAAATAAATCGCAATATCTAAATAACTTAATCGGTTGTTAGTTATTTAAATAAAGCAATAATTTTAGCGCCGTTTTAGCATTCGCTTCTATAATATCAAATACCTTTACTTTTCGATGTTTTTTTCGACTATTAACAAATCACGGCAAGGCATCGCTGTTTATGAACATCAGAATCTATTTACAAGTGGTTGGAGTTCCTTGGTATTTGGTACACACTACGTAAATAATAATGGTCACTAAAGTTACTCTCTTATGCAATTCTTATTAGCACTACTAATTTATGAAGGAATTTTATTCAAATCAAAACACTCCTTCTGGACATGTTGTATTATCGATATATGCTGATAAATTTAACAAGAAAGTAGAGCAATAAATAAACATTTTTTTTTATTGAGTAATAAAAGTTTAAATTTAAAAAGCAAATCTAAAAACACTAAGGCTTATATAAATTTCAAAAAATGATTGTCCTTCAAAGTGCTATTATAACTTTTTTTAGAAATAATATATAAAAAATGATTGTCTTTCAAAATGCTTTATCACTTTTTTAGAGATACTATGCTAAAAAAAACTACACTTAAAATGTTTAAATATATGAAATTGAATATCGCAATTGAAATTTTATTGCTTTTCTATCTAAATCGCAGACATAAAATTATATTGTTCCCTGATTGATGCTGTGATGGAACTATCAGTATTACCTTCATGCTTCTTGCTCCAGTCTGTCTGCTTCATCATTCACCACGCCCCGTTCCTCTTGTGGTACAGGTACTGTTGCATTATTACCTCGAAGAGGCCAGCATTCTGGCAACGCACCGTTATATTTAAACATGCCTAAAATTAATATCGCAAAGCCTACAAGGTGTTGCCAGTGGAATGCTTGCCAACGCACTGCCAGTGATACCATCCAAATGACGAACGTTCTGTGGAAACAAAGCGAATATTATGTTTTAAAATCGTTTTTATATAAAAAAAATAATATATAAAATTTTTGTACAATTTTCACACGATTTTTTTTCAGTACTTTGATATATTATAATTATAATACCGTTACTTTAATGTTTGTGTAAGCCACAGAAGAAAATATAATGGTGGTCAGAATTTGTTTATAAAAAATTGTTTAGTTAATAAACAATGGGATTATTGATAAAAAACATTTCTTGTTAAAATATTGGGAAGTGCCAATATTTTATTATTTTAAAGGATAAAATAATTTCTGAACTAATTATTTAAACAATCGAAATAAAAAATGATTTAAAAAATTAAAAATATATTAATTTTTTAATCATAATTTCCCAAGGATAACAAAATACCAAAAAAACATTTACTGTCTATTTGTTTATAAATAATTCATAAACAAATAACGTAAAAATTGTAACAATGTTAATTATTGCTATTGTTGAATGGGAAAAAGCAATAACAAAACATCAGTTTAAAAAAATTAACTACATTTTTTGGAAATTTCTTTTTTCTTTAGTTATAAAAATTTGTACACTGACCTCTATACAAGAAATTGTAATAAACAAAATAATAAACTTTTATCGCGTGACCTTTTTTATTATATAATATATAACAAGGGGTCTAAGAAGTCAAAAACTTATAAGTCAATTATTTAAACCATACATCCCATTATTTACAGGTTAGAAAAAAAATTGGTTTGTTAACAATCGTATTACTTTGAAAATCGAGATTTTTTAACATGGATTTAACAAGGAATTTTTATTCTGTTAAGAGCCCTCTTACATTTTGGCGTTACGCAAATTTAGGTATTTTACGCTCCGAGCGGGCGATGACCACTATGATGCTCACACTATGGTACTGGGAGTATAGCGACTAAACGATCTTGATCTTCCATCATACAAGTTTTCTTAGGATGGAGTTCAGTGGATGGAAAGTTTTTGGTGTCATTTTTATGTTATCTATATAATATATTATAATCACAGTTTTTTCACAGATTGTCTTTCACAGGTTTTCTCGATAGCCGATATTCAATAGGATCTATAAATTAGAGCTCCCAAATCATGACTCTCAGAGTTTTGACCTAAACATGCCTAGGGAGAATGATTATTACTAAAAAAATAAATAAGTGATCTAAAATTTGCCTTGAGCTTATTGTAGTAGAGAAAACGAACTATTTTTACCTAGTAATTGTTTTATCAAGCAACGAACGGAAAACATATAATTTCAACGAGGAATCCTTGTAATTTGGCGTTTTTTTGTAATATGCCTCTTAAAAGAGCCGTGGTAGCTCAGTGGTTAACGCTCGCTGTAAATATAACAGAACGCGAGTAACCCGGGTTCGATCCCCGCCGGCACCAATGAAATTGTTAAATGCAATTTTAAGTGCTGATTTACCACGTGCTCGGCGGTGAAGGAAAACATCGTGAGGAAACCTGCATGTCTGAGTAATAAGAAAAAAATATTTCGAAGACATGTGAAGTTCGTCAACACGCATTTGGGCAGCGCGGCGGACACTTCCTTGCCCTAAACCCTCTCAGAAATGAGGGGAGGCCTGAGCCCAGTAGTGGGACGTATATAGGCTGTAACTTTACTTTACTTTTACCTCTTAAGTGTTCAGATGATACCAGATTTTGTTTTCAAAATTTTTAAATAACATTAAGGTATTTAAGAAGGTTTATGTCTATTTTTCACGTTTTTCAACTTGTTGACCAGACTGTCAGGCGAGTGTGGGTGTGCTCGTTAGTCAACCCCCCTCTATTTTTAAGAAAAACGTTCATATGCAGTGCGTATGAGAATCGTGATGGATTTCCACGAATGACAAAAAAACTCATAGCTTCACATTGCTGGCGGCATAACCAAGTCGTCTACGTCAGACTTAAAATACCCAGACAGGCGACAAATAACAATGTTTGCACTGTTTAAGTCACATTCTCACTGCAATGGGATTATCGAAATGGTAGTCAATAACATTGGTTGATTGGTAGATATTAAGTCTCCCCTTTGTATTCTTTTTTTTAGAAATGCAAATAAACAAATGGATGCTGCCATCTGCTTGGGATCCTATAATTAACAAAACTAAACCTAAACCCAAGCACACCACCGCAAGACTTCAAGATACTGTAAGCTCGTTGTGCGTAGATCGGACCAAAAATTAATATTAAAAAACTGAAGGTAGCCAGGCTATGACATTGGGACGTCAAACATCTCAGTCCCCTCGTGACCATAGGTGCTGTAAAGCACCCAAACATCGGGAATTTAAAAATAAGTTAAAGTAAATATAATTTTATTCAATGTGTAGTGTTCGCGTAAATTTAAGAAATCATTAAATAAATAAGTATAAAATGACTGTCTCAACTACTTTTCCTTGTCAATATAATATTCCCATGGCTATTACAAATTATTCCTTACAGGTAGTTTCGCCGAAAGCCGTAACGTATCGCCACGCATGTTCACTCCGGCAAAAAACCGAACAGACATGCAAATGGCAAAAGGATACCTGTGGGTAGAGATTGAAGTTACGCGGGGCGAGTGGGACACTACTCCGGAAGACGAAATGTTAGGTGAAAATGTTGCGTTCGGTTTTTGTGTCGCATGCGGCTTAATGGAAAAAGCTTCATACAAATTGTTCAGCTACTGGCCCCCCTTAAGTCATATAGCCGCTATATTAACAGGCTATGAAGCATTTTATCTTAGTTTAATGGAATTGTAACTGCATTAAACTAAGATATATTAGTGTATTTTTAAAGTTTGTTTAAAGTTAGTTACAAATGGCCAGGATTTACTGTAGAGAGTTTAGAGGATAGTTACTGTAGCCTATATATATACTATCCTCTAAGAGGTGGACAATTATCTTATTTGTCTCTAAAAAAATATGGTAAAAGAGTGCCTTACCTTATAGAATCTAGCACCATTCTTGTAGTCGCTGACATTTCTTTGGTAACACTTATTCCAGCGAAGTTGAAGAAAGCAATAGAAATTATTGTTCCTATCACTGCCATGAGTAGAAGTGGATTGTTGCCTGAATATCAGAAATTTTTGTTTCTTAATTACAATGTAACGATTAACGACTTCATTAAGTCATAAAAAGGGTGGAAAGATAGGATGATAAAAATATATCAGAAAGTAAAACATATGTATATTATATATTTTACGTTTACCGATAAAAATACATACATACCAACTTGAATTAGGCCATCAATCGCGTCTTCCACAGTGCCTCGAGGATTATTTCCGAAGTGGCTTGGTGCAGGTACCCAGTAAAATATCACCAACAGTACTGAAAGAACGGAAAAACCAAATATTCCCTCCCAGCCAACTGCTTGCATTGAAGGGATGTTTAAGCCTGCAATCAATAATAAAACTTTTTTGTATTTCCTTTGCTTTCAAGAAATAATATGACGAGTGAGTTTAAATACGACAACGATGATACATATTGTGGTCTGATTTTCAATATTTATAACGATATGTGGACTTGCCACAGACTATGATGATGATTGTGTACAATGACTAAACGCACCTCCATGAAATAGAAATAGTGATTCATCCATTGCGTCTTTATGTTAAATAAATAATAATTTCCATATTGCCGTGTCATTTCTCAAATTAGTTACATAATCTTGATCAATATTAACTTTTTTATGACGAGATCAATAAAATAAAACATCAATCACAAATATTTAAAAAAATTATATTCTTGTTGTTTATGGGCAGTTTTTTTATAGGAAAAGTGTGACAAGCGAGCACACAGTTCACCTGATGGTAAGTGGTTGCTGTGGCCCATAGACATCTACATCTATCATTGTGTGCGAATCAAAATAAAAATGCGTTGTCAGCCATGAGGACTAAGACGGAATTCCTCTTTCCCAGTAAAAAGGGTCTCCGGTTCTCTACACTCACCATATGAAACACAGCAGCATTAAGCTGATATTTGACGCTGGTATTCTGTGAGAGCGTGGTGCTTCCCCGGCCCCGGTGGAGCCGACCCATTCGTGTTATAACTGTACAATTAATATAGCTGCAGCATGGCTCTACCACGTAAAAAAGTTTGTTAATGCCCTTGCTGTAGAAGTCTGCTGCGCGTGAATTGATGAACTTTTTGAAGACATTCTTTACTGCTTCTTCTGAATTCAGAATTTTTTCCTACCAAAAAGTTATTTAAGCTTTGAATAAGTCAGGATAAGGCCTGAAGAATATGTTGGATTAAAAAGCGTCTCTAGCTTTAGCCTAGTTAATTTAGCCAGCGTCAGCTGTACTCTAAATGAATAAATTTCGTTAAAAGCAGCAAGCAAACACAGTATAGGGTAAGAAGTATTCCAATTAAAGACATAGTAGAAGCAACACGTCTCCTTTTCTTATTAACACCTTCCAACATTAGATGCGACCATGCCAGGCGGTGCGCTGCTACAATGCAACCACCGAAGCCTGAATTTATGAAATATGAAGATTAAATAACTGTGAAGAAACACAAAGACAAGAACACAATAATATGACAAATACGAGAATAGGCCACAATAATAATTTTATAGAAGTTGACTGAAAAATTAAAAAGTATGTGTAAGAAAGAATGAGTAAAATAAATGTGGATTTTTTTATATCAACCAAAGACCAAAATTTAAAAAACGGCAAATTAATTCAAAAAAGAAGGAAGCCGTTGTACTCTAACGAGCTTTGCCTAGAAGAATATGAAAATTAAGTCGAAAAAAAAAACAAAAAAATTAAGAGGTAAAATTGTACCAATATTAGTTTTGAAAAAAAGGTATTATATGTTCCGTATTAAATATAAAATAAAGTTGAAAATTATCCGATAACTAACATTAACGATTTATTTGTTATTTATGATATTGTATCAAAAAATGAAATCATAAATCATTGTAAATAAATAAATAAGTAATGCAATATTACAAATTAAGTTGAGTTTTAAGCAGTTTAGTAACATTAGTACAAGACGATTTTATATTCACTTTTACTCAGTTACTGTTTTATATAATTTTTCTTATTTATTACTGTGTCCTGCAAAAGTAATGAATGAAATAATATGATATATTGCATTATTGCGTACTTAAATTTACCATGGTTTATCATCAATTGATTTTTCATATTTGGAGATAAAATTTAACTTTTAATTAGCAATTACGATTTAAATCGTTTCTTTTTTTTTTCATAGAAAATTTTACTTAAATTTATACAATTTTGAAAAGGGATTCATACAATTCGCTATTATAATGTTTTCATTTTTTTTTCTTAAGAGCAAAGAGTATATAATCACATAAAGGCAATGAACCATAAAGTTAGAATAAAACAACTAACTAAACTAGGAAAGGAACTAGAACGTAAGGACTACTTACTTAAAATTTAAAATTGTTACAATTTTTCAATATTTAACGAAACGAAATATTAATTTATAATATTTCGTTATATAAATCTTGATAGGTGTTATAGAGATTTTGGAATTATGTTCTGTATAACATCACATTGATTATGCATAATAAGAACATGTATTATAAACAAAGTGTATTTGTTACTGCAGATTTCACAATAATATTTCATTCATTTTAAACCTTGTGTCTGAGAGAATATAATCACTATTTTTGGCTTGTATCATGTTACCCTGGGTTCCTTTCAACTTGATATTTTATCAATTATCATTCTAACATAAGTATTCATAAACAATAATTGTAGGCGGTCAAGTGCTAAAATTTGTTAAATTATTTAGTGCAGAGAATATAGATGTACATTATTACTGCTTGTTACCAAAAAAGTTTAAAATAAAGTAAATGTAACTTTTTATTATTATTCGCTTTTCTTGCTATATCCCAGTATTCCCCCGACTTATGATTATCTCTAACATTAATATTACTGGCTTTATTCTTTATTTTATCTGTTTAGGTTATAATAATAATAAACACCTGCAACATATTTTTCTTCATATACCATTTGGCAAGCAGAAACAACCTGAGCTACAATGATTAACATATCGCCTGTTATAAGGCTATTCCTTCCTTTAGCCTCGCCTGGAGATTGGTATATGGCATCCGTAGCTCCAACTATTATAAGACCCAAAAGCACTCCAACTGAAAATAAATGAGTTTGCATTAAAATCCAACAAACAGATTGAAGAGCATAATATATATTTTATGCATGCGTAGGTAATAACAAATATTCCAATTTCTCAGGTAAAAACTACAGCATTTTTCTCCCTCAGATCATAACATTTGATATACTCAATTCGTAAATTTTATTGAAAAGTACAAGTTGAAGTAAACAACGTTGGCTTAGAATCATAACGCGTGAATTAAGTATAATTTGGTTTATACCGTTTAAAAAAAAAACGGCAGGGCCTCGCGCAATAGGTATTGAAAAATTGCAAGCAGTCGCTATTTCCAATCATGAAGTATAGAAGGTAAATTACGAGTACTAATTACTCAATTAAGTATTGCTGCTTTGGTAACAGTAAATGTAAGCTATGGTGAAACATGACTGAGTTTTTCACGGAACCACCAGAGTAGCAGCACTGTGGCAGTGTTTCTGTAGCTAAATGATGTAACTGTGTGATCTTTTTGTCACTATCAAATCTGCTACCCAAGTATTGTAATATAGCTTAAATTCTAAGCTCTACAATAAAATATTTACTACATAGCTCTACAATAAATATAAGCCGCATGTGGACCGATTTTGATGATTCTTTTTTTATTTGAAATCTGGTACTTCCCATGTTGTCCCATATAAATTTGATCAAGATCTGACCTGTAGCTTTTGATATATACTTAATAATGCGTATTTAATTGATTTCGACTACATTGATGATGTTCTTATTTTATTTATATTGAAGGCGATTGTACAAAATTTTTAATTTTACCACTTGTTGTTTAAACTTATATAGATTTGTACCTTAGTCAAAGCCAGTTTTTTTCATGTACCACCCCCGTGGTTATGGATATATTGTTTCAAATAATAATAATTGAGACATTCATATTAAATGATTCATTGTCATAATCAAATATGCTTGTGCTAGATACTTTAAATAGTTTACGTAACTCTTTATGAGTCACTCTTTAAAATATGCAGAGTATAAGCTTCAATATGAATGTTGTAAATATTGAACACAAGTTTTAATTCATATTATCAGTACAACTATTTCATGATCATGAGAAAATTTATCATGTGTTATAATTTTAAAACAATATTAACAATCTAACAACATTACCTGTGTTTATGAATGGACCTAAGTATAACGATAACGAAATGAAACCGTCTTGTATATGCCACATGTATACGATACAAAGGCGACTACAAGAAACAACATACCTTACTGCCTGTAAGTTCGTAACCTTTCAAACATGAACACAGCTATTTAAAATATTTAATTTAAGATGGCTAAACTAATATTTATTTACATAAAGAAGATTTTTTTGTCTATTTGACAATGTAGGACTAATGTATCCACTACTATTAGAGAATTACATATGATTTCATGTAAATCAACCTAGCAGGTCCATTCTATCTTTCCATCTGCTGTGTGGCGGTGGCGTATGAGAATCCATAACCGCATTTCGTGCCGTAGGTATCGTAAGGGGAACCTCACGTAAAATAAACCAGACCGGAAGCGGGCGCCAGCATCAAAAGTGCGATACGTCTGATACTGCAACCACAATCTCCTTGCCGCGCCTAACAATTAAGGCAAAATCTCCCCAACAGTGGAAGAGACTCATGTTATTAAGTAGACTTTTATAGACTAATGAAGTAGAAGCTATTTCATTTTTGTATGTGTAATCTGTAGTCTTCTTTTTTGTTTACCTATGGACATACTCATGGAAGAATGAGGATGAATGGAGCCATGAAGAATCCATGGCTCCATGGGTTGTTGCAATCAATTATCACCTTTAGGGGTACTTATATTTATATTAAATACTGTTAATGTTATTGTAATAAGAAATATAAAGTACATCTTCTATATATTATTACAAGTTATTTATTTTGTAAACAGAAATAAATTAAGAGGACTAGAATTCATACTACAAATTGATATGGGACAAATTGACCAAGCATAGATTATGATTATCAATCAATGCTTATCTCTTATTACATTGTGCCTTGCATACTGTTATGATAACATATGGCTTGCATAACTGCAAACAAGATTGTCTCTAAGCAATGTTATTACTGTCATGGAAAGTAACAATTACTGTTGTTCTTTTATGCAGGAAATACCAAGTATTTAGGTACACATACTAAACCTATTAAATATCAGTCCGCATTAAATGAGTTTTATAATATACACTGTGTCCCAGAAAGAATGGATAATCCTGGAGCGCCCACGAGTACAGGCATCAGGCGCTCAAATAAAAATACGAAAAAAAAATTCAAGTGGTGCCAAAATATGAAGGTTTTAATAAAAATGTTTTTATTGACCTTACTGTACTCTCATGTACACCACTGCCGCAAATCAATGAAATTTGTTGCGTTTTTGATGTTCTCTTATTCCTCACAGACTATTCTATTGAAATGCAGTAAAGAATATGAGTATCTATTGTACCTTTTTGCATAAAAAAACCTCAATTTTTAAAGGCATTTAGCACAGCAATCACCAACTCACCTACCAAGTGTGGTGATTAAGGCAGATCCTCCACAAAATGAGAAAGGCCCAGCAGCAGGTTCAGCAGCGGACTTCTTCGAAGAACATTATTTTAAAATACAATATTTCCACTTACTTATTCCAACCCACTCTCTAGTAATTATTTGTCGATTCAGAAATGTCATAGAGAACACTGCAACAAAAAGGATGATCGATCCTCTAAACATTTGGAAACTGCTTGCATAAGTGAGTGTAAGGCCTATATACATTATTGAGGTACCAATCTGTAAATTAAATTAAGCTTAATTATTATTTTTATCTTATATATTCAATTTTAAGGCATTCAATGAAAATGTATGATTTCAGAATAATACACTATTTATGGATTAATACAAAATGTAATGAGCTAAATGAAATGCTTACCAAGTCAAACATTGCAGCCGGCATTAATATAAAAGGATTAAAATTCTGGTTGCCATGTGTCAAAGTGTGGCCCCCAGTATTTCTTGTTTTATAGTATACCATCTTAAAAGTCACTAAGCACATTATTTCCCCTAAGAACATTGTAGCTGCCTGCAATATCAGTCACTCTAAAATCTTAATAATTAAACTTTTAATAAAAAAGTATAAACATACTACATTAAATAGAATATTTTCTACACAGAAACTTCTAAAATCGGCGCCAAGACATAGTGTATCAAAGAATAAAAGCTCCAACTTCAGAACTATAGTATAATAACAGAACATAATTATAATATATATGCAGCACCATAACCCCCTTAGAAGTGATATGCCTGTGTCCAGGAGGAGGACATAATATATATCTAGACTGAAAATTTACTGTTCTAGAAAAATGAAATTGTTTTAAAAGTTTTAGTACCTATGAAGCTGAATGTGGTAAATCACATATTTTAATAAACGCCTACAATTAAACACAATAATGAAAAGAAAAAGACTAATATTTTTTAATTTTCTTGCTAGATATATAATATATAAGTACTCAGGAAACAAATAAGCAATAATTTTCAGTTTTAAATACCACAGATAAAGCATATTTTCTAACTACTAGTAAACCCAATAATAAATATGGAAAGTTTATGATTTATAGCCTTCAAAAAATATTACAATGTAGGTAAATGTACTCATTTATAAAAGAAAATGTTTTAAAGAAAACTTCCAACACACTACCTGAAGAAATGGATGATTAAAAGCTCTGATTTCTCCATTGGATCCTTTGGACTCTAATTTATCTGCCCACTTAGTGCTCAGAGTGTTAATTGAGCCTGTAATAACCATCATTATGGCAAGAAATTTTTGATACCCCGTCCAAGCCATAGTTTTGTATCTAAAATATGTAAGAATACAAAATAAATACACAATCTATCTCTTTACACAGAAACTAAAATAGTAATATAAACGCCAAGCTAACTTGTTGAACTAAATGTATTTGCCACATGGACAGAAAAATAGTTATTTTTTCTGTCCATACAGGCAAAGCGCCAGCAATTAAAGTAAATGAGAAGAAAATAAACACTTAAGTAGCAATTCGCGCTAAGGAATAACGAAGAAGGTACTTATTATATAAAATAAAAAGTTGCAAAACCAATTGTTGTTATATCTATTAATAAACCATAAATATATCGAGTACTTTGTGTGTATTTCTGTTGTAATATGAAGCAATCATCTACGAATACCCATTATTCATTTTATCGTTATCATTACAGCCAACAAACAAGTCCACTGCTTTTTAAAAAAAAAGCAATATACACTAAAATACAATTAAAAAATGGACAAAATCATGTAGGTACTTAGTGTCTCTATGAAATTATTATATAAAATAATTTGTATACATAAATAAGCTCACCCTGTAATTTTTAAAGTTTGCAAAATTAATGCAATTTTATTGTTGTACCTACTAGCCTCAAATCAGACTAATTCCCTAATTTATATATAATAATATAACAATCTTGGAGACTACCATAGATTACTGCATATGAGACTACAAACTAATAAGAAGTGCTAACGTTAAGAGACATACAGGCTACAGGTACAGGCTGATATTTATAATGTACTCTGTGGATCCACAGAACCATATATAAATTAATATGTAAAATACATGTATTATGTAGATGTAGCAAGCTATAGTGCCACCAACTTTACTGTTCAATTGTGGAGAGTTGTGTGAGTGGACAGTAGAGAGCTTACTATTGGCACTTAAAAATATTACCGTGGAAGTAGGTGACTACTTATATATATTTATTTGCACTACTGGCAATGAAATCAAACAAAACACACTTTTCACAATGAAATAAAACAAAGCGCTCACCCGACAGGCACCAACAGGCACTGAATAAATAATAATAGGCTGACACTGCTGTGCTGTTAAGTTGTTCAAAACGACTATAAATCAATAGCACGCTACAGACTATAAACTATTAATTTTTAGCGCGCTATTAAATACGCTATGTTATAGCGCGCTATTTATAAGAAAGCGTGTAGGAGGCCGGCAAGTGTGTAAGTTTAGCAGCACGCTATATCTCGGAGCACAGTACATTACGTGTCGTTCATTGGATAGACAGCGTGCTATATTATAAGAACATTATTTCGTAATAGGTCGCATTAAAAAAATTAAGTGGTAAAGAGAAATCAATGAACGCTCTTTCATACTTTTCGGGCTTACGACTTTCTATAATCCTAAAATATTTTTAAGGCATGTACTTTATAAAAAAAAATTAATAATTTTTTAACCTTAATAGAAATTATTAATCAATTAAAGGTGTATTTAAAAGTTTATTGATTGTATTTACAAAAATCAACTATTTACAAACACATATACACTATTGTATCTATATTTTATTTACATTTAAAACATTAGTTAGGCTTCTTTTGTAACAGACAACTGTGTCCTTCGATCACTTATAAATTAATATACAGTATACACTAACTAAACAAGGTAAATTAGTTCGCGCTCGTTGAATAGCGTGCTGTTAGATTAAATTTGCGTCACACGTCTACTCCCAACAGCGCTGCTGCTAGAATTGCCACTTGATATGAATAGCACCAAAGCGTCATAGTGCCATAGCGCCATAGCGACTACTTACATAGCACGTGCTATGCGTTATGGAGAGATAGCGCGCTATAATATGGCGCTATGCGCTATATTAACCACCATTACTGTGCTGACAGTTACTCTGATACTCTGTGGCTGACAGCGAAACGCAGCGTGACCCTATGGTCGTACATGTTTTATTACGTAGGAAGTTAGTTTAATAATGTATACATTTTTGATGCATTGGTGAACTAAATTTCATGCTCCGTGTTTATTTTTATTTTTGACAAAAAGGAATGTTAAAAAATGGAAAAATATTTTATGGTGCGTGGATGTGCAAGTGGTTTAGCATCTGCATAGCGATCGCAGCGCCTTACTTATGAAGTCCATATTTTTGGACTCCAAGACTCCAAGGATTCTAACGAATTTCCATGAGCGTGACCAATTTCATTTGACGAATCTACTGCTTGTGCAAGTTAAAAGCTACTGAATTCTACCAAAAGAGAACGAGAAAATACTAAAAAATTTTTTTCCGTCTTTATATTTTTTTCCGTCGTGTTATAACGTAAAAACATGAACGTTATCTTGATTGAACGATAAAATAATAAAAATAACAAAGAAACTGAAAAAAACATAACTGCAGTGATCGTGATCCTTGGCAATTTTAACGCTTACCATGCCGAATGGCTTGGTTCACGTTTAACCGATCATGCGGGGAGATCTGTTCATGACTTTGCCTTGGCATATGGCGTGACACAACAGGTTACTTCGCCTACGTGGATTCCATATGTTTGGACTTTCTGCTGATCTCTCATCCGGACGGATATCAGATTTCCGTCTACGCTCCTTCTCTCACGCTGAAATCGCGGTTGCATTCTGCTGGCTTCCGCCGTGTTTGACATTATAGGTCAGCTGATTGGGATGGGATGCGGACTTTATTTGCATCCTACCCTTAGGGGCAGGTTTACTTCTCGCCAAACGATCCCAACGTTGTTGCTGATTCTGTCGCTGATGTGGTACTTTGGGGTTTGGAACTTTTTATTCTTTCCTCTGTGGTGCCCATCGGAGGCAAATCTTAGCCATGGTTTGGTCGCTCCTGTAAAATAGCATATTGCCATAAGCAGGAGTGCTAGCGAGCCCGGGCTGAAGCATTAACATCCCGGGATGTAAACATCGACGCTCTAAAAAATTTGTATAATTCCGCTTCCAGGTCCTTCAAAATAGTTATTGCCAAGGCAAAGTCAGAGCACATAGGCAAAATTGGCGAGAAACTAGTTCGCCTCTTTCTGGAACTCGTGCATTCTGGTGCCTATGCATTGGGAGGACGACACACTGGCCCGTGCCGCAAACGAGAAACATGATCTGCTAGGCCAGGCTAGAAGTATGCCGCCGACCATCCCGTGGTGTGAGTGCTCCATGCCGGAGGTGCCGTTCACATAGCACTCGATTTGCAAAGCACTCCTCTCACTGGACATATAAAAGTCGAGTGGGCCTGACGATATCCCCCTAATTGTGCTGAGGACGTGAGCCCAGAGTTGGCAACGGCCATAACGCGTCTTTTCCGATACCCCTACTCCCTAGGCGTAGTCCCAAAATCATCTTTCTGTGGGCAGCTCTCTTTCTATGGGCTTCCCGAGAAATTGTAAAATTGCCGGATCATCATGATCGGAGCATCAAGGTCGTTGTAAACGGTGCAAGCTCCAATTATAAGTCTACTCAAGCTGGTGTTACACTACTGCTATAAACCAACGCTGTTTCTTCTGCACATCAATGATATGTTGCAAACCGGCAACACTTCTTGCTATGCAGATGACAGCACTGGTGATGCTCTTTACACCGCCCGTGCCAATATTTCTCGGGAAAACGTCTCCGAGTACCGGGACAAACAGGTGTCTGAAGTCGAGTCTTTGCTGAACAACGTCTCGGATTGGGGGCGACTAAATCTAGTCCAGTTTAACCCTCAGAAGACATACGTTTGCGCGTTAACTGCCAAAAAAGAGCCCCTTCGTCATATCTCCTCAGTTTCAAGGCACTTCCCTAGTTGCCTCAGCCAGTATTGGAATCCTCGTCACTCGATAGTCGACATATCGACTATCGAGTGACGTGCAGTTTAGTGGTCACTCGGAAGAAAAGGCCAAATTGGCCTCTAAAAAGCTTGGCGAGCTCAGCAGAGCGGGACAATATTTTATGCCGGCACACCACCTGCAACGTTACAAAGCGTAGGTTCAACCGCACATGGAATACTGTTCCCATCTCTAGCATGGGGCTCCCCAGTGCCATCTCCTTCCACTTGACCGCATCCAGCGCAGAGCGGCTCGAATCGTATACAACCGAGTGCTTAAAATGAAACTTAAAGTTAAGATTCTTCGTCTTTATGTTGGTTAATATTGTCATAAAGTTATTTAGAGTACGTTAACTTGATCATACTTCTGTCAGGATTAAATCTGCTACATCCTTCTTCCAACTGTAGTAGCCCCTCTTTTTCATGCATCATTGCAGCAACATTCTTATTATTAAATAGATTTCTATCTTGATTTTTAATCCTATTAATATCGGAAAATATTCTTTCTACTTTGGCGTTTGACAAAAGTAGTATCGTCATTTGCTTCACAAATCGGGACAAATTGCCATACTTTGGTTTGCCACTCGCATCATGATTTGGCTGATTTAACTCCAAAATTTATCCACCATAAAAGTTTCAAACGATGAACTAGAAGTTGACAATAAATTAGACACGGAAACATCCAATTTTAATTACCTATATTAATTGTCAAACATTTGCATGTTTTCTGTTGCAATTAAGTTAGGAAACCTTTGGAGTATTCTTATGGTAGTTTGAAATTCCCCATACACTGCTTTTTGGGGATCGATGAACGACAAATCCTGCAAAATAGTTATCTTGTACAGGCAGTCTTTGCAGAAATTGGTTACTCAGCTCGATCAAAAATGATTGACATCTGTTATTTGTTATCATTATTCGTCAATTTTAGATCTCATTCGAACATCATCCTTTAATGAGTCCAGTGTCATCATACGTTTGTGCCTAGGTACATGTTTTGTATAGGAAGATATATATATATATATATATATATATATATATATATATATATATATATATATATATATATAATATGCTCGCTGTAATTTTCACAGTACACGATATATATAAATATATCGACTAACAAAACTTTAGTGGGTTGCACGCCACAACTGTATTATAGATGCAGCGCGAACGGGTCGGCTTAACCAGCGTTACTTTTCAGATGAATATAATATATATATATATATATATATATATATATATATATATATATATATATATATATATCTTCTTATATATTTATGATATAATAACGTAGCATATGGTGAGTTGGAGTGTCAGTAAAATTTTGAAATTCGGCAAACTCTCTTTGTCGTTGACGTATTACAGTAACATTTTATTATTTGCTTGAAGTATATTGAAAATAAATCAATGGGCGACATAGATTGAGCATAAACAATTTCACTGCATAGTACGTAAGTACATTTGACTGAGCATTTGAAAATTATGTGGACCTCAAATCTTGGATTGCGCTTTACAACAGTTGTGTTCTAGTTTAAGTCGGTTTACTTGTTTGAATGAATAAACTCTACCACCAACTACCAACTCTGAAATAATAATAGCCAGTAATGGCTTCTCTACATTTGTGTTACAAAACGCAAAATGAAGTTATCTTGGTGTAAGACCAAAGAGTAAAATTATTCGAGGGTTAGTTACTCTGGTTTAACATAGTATTTGGTCGAATCCATCCTTAATACACGGTTAAATAACCGTGTAATAATGTTATGGTATTCTTTA